AGTTTTGCCTTTCTGTCTGGATGTGTACAGAGCTAGGGACTACACCTGTGGTCCGATTTCAATGAAATTTGGTATGTAGGTTCTAATTCGTGGTATCTCCAGGTGTTTTTTCATTTTTTTGAAATTTTGATTTTTTTTATGGGGATTTTCCCATAAAAACCCATAAAAAACTGGAAAAATCGGATTTTCTCAAAAATGGCCCGAACGATTTTGATAAAAATTTAGTATGTTGTTGCCCTTTAAAGTCTGAACAAAATGGTACAAATCCCATTTCTGTAAAAATTATGGTTCAAAAGTTATGGTAAATTATGTTATTTTCCCATAAAAAAACCCATAAAATAACAAAAAATAGGATTTTAGACAAAAATCCGGTTTTGATTTAACAGAGTATGTTATGATCCTTTCAATTTTGATAGTTTTCGTCATTTTTTAGAAAATGTAATTTTTAATGGGGATTTTCCCATAAAACCCCATAAAAAACTGGAAACATAGGATTTTCTCAAAAATGGCCCGAACGATTTTGATAAAAATTTAGTATGTTATAGTCCTTTATATTCTGAACAAAATGGTACAAATCCCATTTCTGTAAAAATTATGGTTCAAAAGTTATGGTAAATTATGTTATTTTCCCATAAAAAACCCATAAAATAACAAAAAATAGGATTTTAGACAAAAATCCGGTTTTGATTTAACAGAGTATGTTATGATCCTTTCAATTTTGATAGTTTTCGTCATTTTTTAGAAAATGTTATTTTTAATGGGTATTTTCCCATAAAACCCCATAAAAAACTGGAAAAATAGGATTTTCTCAAAAATGGCCCAAACGATTTTGATAAAAATTTAGTATGTTATAGTCCTTTATATTCTGAACAAAATGGTACAAATCCCATTTCTGTAAAAATTACGGTTCAAAAGTTATGGTGGATTATGTTATTTTCCCATAAAAATCCCCATAAAATAACGGAAAATCGGATTTTCCCAAAATTGGCTAGAACAATTTTGATAAAAATTTAGTATGTTATAGTCCTTTAAATTCTGAAGAAAATTTTACAAATCCCATTTCCGTATATTTACACTTACCGCTTACACATGAGAAAGGTTGTTGACAATCTTATGGGAGAAAGTATGTGTCAGAATGCTGATACCGTTTATTTTATTCACTTTCAAACGTAAGTACAACTGAGCCAAAAATACAAATATCCACCATCAATTAATAATGAAGCCCTTGGAATGGAAAAATCCATTCCAAGCATTGCACAAAATACAAAAAAGCATTATGCACAAAATTACCTGGAGGCATAGATAAAATAAGCTGAGCAGAAAACAATTTTGTGTCTTTACTAAATACTAAAAAACTTTCTTTATTTAAGGTGTGGCTCACAAAACCGAACAGGAGTGCAACTTTAGTGATTTTCCTTATAAATTATCATACTCCTACTGTTTACCTATGATAAAGGTTGTTGACAAGCTAATGGGAGAAAGTATGTGTCAGATCGCTGATACCGTTTATTAACTATAAAATATTGTTTTAAAATTATTAAATTAATTTTTAATTTTTTAAAATTAAACTTTCATAACATAACCTAACCAACCAGACTTGCTGATAATAACAAAAACTATATAAGATACAAATCTAATTAATGATTACAGTACTTTTAATTTCTAATTAATTATAAAATTAATTTTAAAATTTAGTATTACTAGTGAACCTGTGCGGCTCAATTCCCCGCAAAATAACATATGAATTTAGAAAAGAAATTCATCGTATTATATATTGACTCGACGACGAAAATTAAACAGTAATAATGAAGCCTTGAAAGGGAAGCAGTCCAGCCATTTTCTAGCTGTATGTGTATTACATTTAGTAAATAAGTGTTCAAGTTCAAGTATGTTATAGGCAGCAAGCAAGGTTATAGGGTAGTTATTTTTTAAAGATTAACACATTTAACACAACATTTTATCATATCAAACCAATCAAACCAAGGCCTATGTAGCATATTTTGAGGGTCATAAAAATGCTGCTTAAGGAAAACACACATTTAAAAACAAACACTAAAAAACAATATTTTTATCACAAAAGCACTTCCATGAATACTACGATTTTAGCCTTAAAGATACCTTCAGGAAGATTACCCTGATCAGAGTTTTCCGTAACGAATATGCGTATCCTATTAAAAGATGTAGCCTTACTTAAAACAACATATATAATATATTTGCTCATGACTAAAATTGGTCTGGGTAAGAACAGCGCTGCAAATGCCTTGGTAACAGAAATTAGCATCTTTCCATTTCAAAAGGTAAGTTTGTTTCAGACGGGTAAATTTTTTCCTCGAAATCAAAATACGTCCCCACTCACTTGTTCCAGTTAAGACTTTACATTCTATTAAGTTTGTTAACCATTCTGATCACGTGAAGCCTTGTGACATTAATAAGGCCCTTTTTGATGTATTAATATTCCTCATCAATAAAACCACTGTCCCCTTTTATTAGTCTAATCTGTGTCTTGGCAATCCACTGACCTCTATATTTAAAAACTCAGTTGGATTTTCTAGATGGGTGTCTCCGCCTTCGTCTGTTTTCATGGACCAACTCTTCTTCCCCTTGGTATACTATACTGACAATTAATTACCTGACTTGTCAAGTTCATGTAGTAATTCATTAATACTCTTAGTTTATAAAGAAAATTTGATAAAAGTTACTTGGCTTGGTGCTTTCATAACTGCAAACTCAAAATACACCCACAAGTAAAAAGAATCATGATATATTGGTTAAAAAACCATGTTTGTGTAATAACATTATTCACATGAAGTAGATGATTTGTTTGATTTGTCGATCAGCTGTTTAGTTTCAAATGAATTAATAATGTCAAAGATTTGTGATTTAAATACAAAAATTTTTATAGTAAAGTTTTCTAAATCATGGTATCCACTAAATTGTACTATTCCCAGCATTAATGGTTAAAAACTATGTTTGTGTAATAACATTATTCACATGAAGTAGATGATTTGTTTGATTTGTCGATCAGCTGTTTAGTTTCAAATGAATTAATAATGTCAAAGATTTGTGATTTAAATACAAACATTTTTATAGTAAAGTTTTCTAAATCATGGTAACTTATTCTCAACTAAATTGTACTATTCCCAGCATTAAAGTAAAGTAGTAAAATCCATTATGGGTAAACTTTAAGGTACACAATCCTTGATTGAAATGTAGTAGGAATACATTAAGAGTCATAATACACAGCAATTATTATGTAGTAGACTTTGACTATTTTCAAGTAACAAACATATGTTTCTGTAAATAAAAACTATCTCCCATGTTATCCTTATGGAGAAATACGAAACTTTAAAGGGCTCCAGGGCCTCAATCTCTCAATATTTCCTTAAAAAGAAAGTTTCCTGCACAACTTCACGTTACGCTCTTTCCAATGACACCAAAAACATGTCAATCGGTTCAGTAGTTTCGGAAGAGTAATTGTCACAAAAAATCTGCTTGCGTATTAAATAAGTACGAGAGCACGCCCCGTGGTCGAAAAATCGACCAAAAGTATGTTTTGTGCAAACTTCTCTATTTTCACCCCACACTGTTAAATAAAACATGTGATTGGAATGTCTTCCATTTGTTTTGATTTTCTGTTTATATTTTGTTGTTATTTCGTCATCACCATAGCAACCTATAAAACCCATGTTAATTTTTTAAAATTTCAAATTCATTTTTGTGCTTATTTTTGTGCCTATTTTAGTTTATAAAGGGATTCTGCACACCTACAGGAAAATAGCTTTCTAACGGTATGCGTAGATTTTCCGTACGATACACACGAGCTGAGAAAAAAGGTTTTAAAGAAACATGCTTGCCTATTAATATATAGATAGATAGATAAAATTAAACTGTTATAACCTAACCTAACCAACCAAACTTGCTGATATGACAAATTTGTTGACAAAAAGTTTGTGTTGCCAGCGGGATTTGAACCCGGGACCTCTTGAACATCAATCCGAAACGCTACCAACTATGCCACGAACGCCGCTGAAATCACATCGTTTCGTTACGGTAATCGTGTTGTCTCAAGAGAAGAAATTAGCCACTAGAGAAATGACGTCACTACACCTTAGCCTTAGTCCCTCCCGTGTGCCCATTCCCTACTCCGACTACTGAGTACTGAACTGACTGAAATATTTCTTGTTTTGCACTAGAGTCTAAACCTTCGCTAAATCATCACGATGTTGTCCCCTGGCACTGCGGAGTGGGGGAAGCAAAGCATTCTATTGACTGAGGGAACACCATTACCGCAACGATACGGTTTGTTTGTAGACACCGGCCTCGGTGGTCTAATGGATAACGTGCCGGGCTGAGGATCTGAAGGTACCAGGTTCGAATCCTCTCGGTACACTAACTTTTTGTCTAAGATTTTTGCATTATCAGCAAGTTTGGTTAGGTTATGACAGTTTAATTTGTTAATTAAAACATTATAAAATTCAATTTGAGCTATTATAATTTTAGAACTATTTTTTTTCTATTAGTAAACCTTGTTCGATTTTTCATTATCAGCAAGTTTGGTTGGTTTGGTTAGGTTATGACAGTTTAATTTTATAATTAATAAATTCTAAAATTGAATTCAAGGCATTTATAATTTTATTTTATGAACAGAACTATTTTTTCGATTAGTAAACCTTCATTCGATTATTATTTTATATATTTTTTTTATATAATCTGCATGTTTGATTGGTTAGGTTAGTTTATGACAGTTTAATTTTATAAATATTCATTTTTTAACTTATTGAAAAACTGCAGCATAAGGTATATGATATGCATGTAAAACAACGCGGGCTTGTTTGGACGCCGTCTAGAGGGGAGGTGGGAGGTGGAGGGAGAATCATTTCCCCCACTCCACTCCGCAGCGCCAGGGGACAACATCGTGATGATTTAGCGAAGGTTTAGACTCCAGTTTTGTTTGCTCACTCATTTCAATATTTCATTTTCATTTTGCTTTTTAAGTAATTTAATTTCTTTGTGGTGGTGGTGGTGGAAACTTCTGATTTCCGATTAGGATTGCTCTGCTCTGCTCTGCTCTGTTGTTTAGTATTAAAAGAGTCAAAGGACAGTGAATAGATTTAACCATTATTTAACAACATTTAAGTCAGTGTCATCATCATTATAGGCTAGTGTGGTAAAGATAAAGTTTGTTGTTATTTTGTTTTAGAGACGCGGCGAGGAAATGTACCTTGGGTAACCTAATTCCTTTGCCTCTGTTCGCTTAACGTTTTATATGTGACATGCTACGCTCTTTGCACGATTCTAGTAATCGTGGCTCTTTGTAATTCCTGCATTAGGCCTACGTACTAATTAATAACCATAGAGAAACTGTATTGAATAATTAATTAGTGGAATAGTGATTGGCTACTGAAGTTTCATAGGCCTAGGCTAGTCCTAGTTAACAACATGGGTGAATTGGAGTTTAGTGAAATATCTGCAGAAACCAAAGGCTCTTTGGTAAGTAAGTTAAAGGCTAGGTTGTAACATAAAGACTAACCTCTATTTAGCCTTGCACCCAGATAATTTAAGTTGGGCTAGTTGCTTAATGTTATTGTTAAGCAATCAATATTAACTTAGCATAGCCCAGGTAAGAAACTGTACCTATTACCTACTTATGTTATTGAATAAGAGTCTCGATCACTGAAACTCACAACACTGTCTAAGTTAGGCTAGCCTGGTTCCCCTAGGTAGGGGAGGACGGGGTACAGTGGGTCATGGGGCACACTTAAGATTCAAAAGATTCAAAAAGATTCAAAAGATTTGGGATATTTTGAACCAAAAGATTTGGTTCAAAAGATTTGGGATAAGTATTTTGAACCAAAAGATTTGGTTCAAGACACTGGGTCATTGGGGAAATTTCCCTTTTAGGGGATATTCTTTTCCTGCTTCCAGTATAAGTTAGTTTAAGTTGCCTACATGCTAGTCCATATTGTGGAAACAGATCAACAGATGGAGTGAAATTTTGAGGGAGATAGGCTAGTTGGCTTTGTTTAGTTTTGCCTCCATGCTGGAAAATTGAGGTTAGCTTCTTTTTAGCGAATTTCCCTTATAGGGAATAAGCTATTACTGTAGTACCGGTACTCATGGTAAGACCTGGACGCGGGACCGATTTTTTTTTTCGTTTTGAGGTCCCTAGAGGCCAAAAACACCATCCGTTCAAATTCATATATATATATATATATATATATATATATATATATATATGTCCGTCAGCACGATAACTCGAGCAAAAATGATCCGATTTTGATGAAATTTGGTACAAACGTGTAAGCCTACGTTTATTCGAACGAGTTCGCGTTCCAGCATGATCGGACCATGGGAACGGGTGTTTACGGGGGGGTTTATGGGGTAAAAATAGGTTTTTTCCCATTTTTGACCCAAAAAACATAAAATTTAGTATAAGTTATTGAAGCGTTGTTATGCGCCTAATGGTTACAGAGAAAATTCCAAAAAATTTTAAATTTTAAACTAGGTGTTAGCCCGTCCTACGTACGGGAATTCAGTAGTCAGTTAAAACCGTGTACAATTGAGATCAGCTAGTTTACACATACTGTTTAAAGACAAAGTTTCTTGCAGTTTTAATGTGAAAAATCATCTTGTAAACAAATGTTGTGTGGCCAAATATGTTTTTATTCCACCACAGGCCTATACGATATGCATTTTTAATCCGATAATTTTACAATAAAACAGCAATTCTGTAATTTTTACGATGTGAAAAGCGTTGAAGTGAGATTTGCAGCCGATTCGCACAGACGCACACTGATTATAACTATTATAAGTAGCCTACAGTAGAGAGAGTAATAGTCAATTGAGAAGTGTATAGACCTAGTCAACGATACCACCTTCCATATCATACCTGCCTCTTCCATAATTATTATCACCACAATACAACTACCATACACAATTTCCAGTAGGTCTGAATAGAAACGACCTAAAATAAAACGATAATATCCAATAAAATTCACAGTACACATAATTTAACTTTGGTGTCGTAACATCAAAACTAATCGTCACACCTATCCTTTATATCAATTTCACTGCATTAATTGCTAAATAAATAAGTGTAAACAAAGAAAAGTAAAAACAATAACAGTTTGTTTGGAAACAGCTGTTTGGTTCAAATAACATTCATTTGAAAAAAAGAAATGGTCACATGTAGCAGGAATATAAAAAGTAAACACGCTAGTAAAGCTAGTGACATAATTGTCAATGTTTATTATCCATACCGTTATCAGTTCTATCCTTGATAATTACCCACCCTCATTGAATAAATGTACATCGTAATTTCCCATATTAGTTAATTTAAACTACAATATATTCATAGTTAAAATAAAAGTGATATTTTCACGTTTGGGGGCGCTGATATAGGCACCCCCAAACGTAACCACAACTGAACACGATTTCATAAAAGGATGGTTTGTCTAATTGCAGTACCCTAGGTCAATGTTGACGTTGTGTTCAATCTATGTCATCCATCTGTTTAAATCTTTGTATAAAACCCGGCTGAGGTTATGGTGGTTATTTAAAATCGTGATTCCTGATTATTCTTGATCTTCTTTTTATGACATCAATATTTCCGGGCCTAATCCAAACAAAGTTTAAGCAGACAAACATTAATTGTAAACAGAAAGCTACCATGAAGAATTACAATGTGTAAACATTGTTATTTTTCTAATCTTTCCTTGAAAAGTGGAGCAGTAAAATAATTTGCATTCATCCATTTTTATTAAGACTCGTGTACAGAGCCTCGATTTGTACTGTGGTTTAATTAATTTTGGTCTAAACTATTTTAAACTCTGAATCTTTACTAATCTTACTTATTGCCTATAATCAATGACAAAATAAGAGTAAATAAAATAACCTCATAGTTCCATAGTTTTTATTTAACCAGCTGTTAAAACAAATTATATTGCTCTAAAACAAATCGAAGATTGCTTTAAAAAATAATTTGAACATCCTAGTATTTTACTATGTATATTTAATTTGTCATCCTCTTACAGAAGAATTGAACGTATCAATGATTAGCATTACACATAGTATAAATAAGTCAACCCTAAGTATGTCTTTACATTTTTATCCAAATGCTGAATTTGTGACACAAAAGCTGAATGTTTACAGCTGTCATGTTAAGCAAATTATTTTATGCCAAAAGCTAGTTTAGAATCTTAGCGTCGGCTGCTAGACTTTTTAAAAATTAAAACTTAATTTCTATAAAACTGGGACCCTAAACTAAAATTATGGCTTCGACATTCCCTAGTTCCTAAAATTATCTTTCTTTCAACGCAAAAATCATGAAAATCGGTCTAGTGGTTGATTCAGAATCGTGAAATAAAAAAACACTGTTTTGTTTTAATATTATAGATTCCCATGTTATTCTTATGGAGAATAAGTAAACTGTTGTAGTTTGCTTGTTTATGAACATATTTTGATCAAATTTGGAAAATGTTTTTATTTCTTACTAACTATTAACATAAAAAAAAAAAACAAAAACAGTTTTACCCTCCCTGATGCAGCAAACCTAAGTACTTGTTAAACTAATTCTATTTAAATCGGGAATAAATAAATCCAATCTGTCAAATGGAAATTCGCTTAGTCTGCAGGTTTGCTGCGGCGGGGGTATTTATATTTACCATGGTTTTTTTTTTATGTAAAGTAACTTATCTTTCTCTATACCTAAACGATCCTCGGCTGTTCTTATTCATTTAGATAATAAGACTTTATTGTTAATATCATAGAATACAAAATTACTATCACTTAAAGATGGCAGCTTCCTCTGGGGTACAGTGGGTCACTTCGTTTGGGGCACAATGGGTCCCATTGAAAACGCATATGATATAATCAGAAAAAGCGTATGAAGTGATATACATGAGAAAAATGTTGCCAACTCACAATTTTGTGTTCGATGAAGAAGGAATTTATTTGGCAGACCATAAACACATTGAGAGAAAACAACCAAAGCCAAAAAATTATCCTGGTACAGAAAGAAAAATTACCAAGTTGACATTTCCACAAAACTTTGAATCCTATAACGTGCATACATTATTTTGTATTGAGCAACATTTCTGAAAATAGCTTTTCAGTTTTGCAATTGTGTTTCCAGGAATATAACATGTTGGTGTGATACTTTGTTCTTTTTTCCTTTATGACCCATTGTGCCCCACTATGTGACCCACTGTACCCCTACACGGGGCACAGTGGGTCAAAATGCAATGTTAAAGAAAACAATTTATCTAGTGTAGTAAAACTTAATATTTAGTTGCAAAACAATTTTTTTATAACAAAAGAAATGCCAAGCAATAACAATAAATATTTAACTCAACCCCTAATGAAAAATACTATGAATTAAATTTATGAAAGCAAAAAGTGACCCACTGTACCCCACCCTCCCCTACGTATTTTAAATCACACAAGTTCTATGTAAGTTGCTGTAGGCTATGGTCTGTAAATGGGGTACTTCCGTATCTGTTGTCAAAAACAACTGAATAAAAATATCGATTGATAAACTTATATTGATCATTTAATTTGATATATCGTTTGGTGAGTTAGGTGAACATAATCTAACCTAGCCAACCAAACAATATATCGAATGTTTGACAACAGATACGGAAGTCTACTTACCCTGTAAATGCCTCTCACAAGGAATGCCTAAGTTTTAGTTCCCATCCCGAGGGTCAATCAAAAACCAATCACCAATCTAAGTTAAATTTTTGCCTATTAGGTCTAAACTTATAAGTTGCCTAGGCTATATTTGACTAGGCTAGTTGAAAGACTTGGACAACAGGCAGTACGGTATGTACCGTAACTAACAGGTATATTTTTTGACCTAAGCAAGGCATCTGATATGGTAAGTTAAACCCTGATTTACTTCTGACAAGGATGTGCAACCTAGGAATCAGAGAAGTGGCACTACATAGGTTTGCTTTATATTTTACGGAAAGAACACAGTTTGTTTCTGTACCCAACGTTGATGGGGTTGGTTATCTGAGACAGAATCCTTCGCCTACAGCTCTGATCAAGAGAGGAGTGCTTCAAGGGTCTGTCTTGGGTCCCACGCTGTTTCTTATCTTCATTAACAGCCTGCATAAAAGTGTCAGCTCATCTAAGACTTGCCTATTTGCCGATGATACATCCCTCAAGTACTCTTTCCAGTGTATCTTTGGAATCCATGGAGCTAAAGGCATTTTAAAAGTCGAACAGTCTTCTGCAATGGTGTTAAGAAAATCAGGTGATTTTAAACTCGAAGAGAAAACTCAAATGTTGAACTTTTACATGTCTAATAGGTCATCATCCAGCAAACAACTAGGGTATGGCCTTAACGTTCAGAAGACAAAGTTGTGACCTCATCCCAAAATGTAAATCTTTTTGGTTTGATAAGCCTATTGAACGAAAATTTGAACTTTTTCCATCAAATTGAAAGTTTAGGTGGCCTAATTTATAATCATCAGAGTCTCCACTGGGGGTTTTGTTCTTCTAACTCTGAAAAATAAACGCTGATAGTGAGGTACAGTACTTCTGTCTGCATAGCCTTCACCTTGGCATAGTATTTCCGGATATCTATCATATACTGTAGGCCTATCTGTCTGGGGAAGTGAAAACCAACGGACTCTGCTAAGTTATTGTTTCGTCTCCAAAAGAAGGCTCTAAGAGTAATCTTCTCCCTCTCAAAAAAGCAATCTTGCAGGGAAATCTTTCGACAGTTTATACAATTTTAACCTTTCCTTCTTTGTACATTTTGAAGACACTGTCATTTGTAAAAAAGAAGTCTTGACAAGTTTGTTGTTTCTTCTTGTCACAAGTAATCTCTGCGAAACACTAGGGAACAACATTCCCATCCCCAAACACTCCACTTCATTCTTCCAACATAATTTTCAGTACACAGCCTGTAAATAGTTTTACAAATGTACCCTACTACTTAAGAAGTTTCATATTTTAGTTTATTTTGACACGGCTAGAGTAGTTGATTGTAATGTATTTGGTTAATTTGGCCAAATAAATGACTTATGACTTAGGCTATTTAAATTAGGCTAGCCTATATCAAATCGTGTAGGCCTACAGTATGGCTAACATTAGTTTATTTAAGTATGTCAGACAACTGTACCATTTTGTGTTAACTTGTAGGCAATTATTTAAGTTTAATAGGCCAGGTGCCTCCAAACGAATTTTTAAATTTAATATGTCTAGGTAGGGGCATCTTACTTTATAATTTTTTACCTCCTGAAACCAAATATAGGTACCATTATTTTTCACAGCACAGCAAATGAATATTAGGCCTACTGAAGAAACAGGCTGTTAAAATGTAGGCTACAATGTTTGAATAAACAAGTTATTAACTGGACTAATACTCGGCGGAAATAACATCTCTTTAACCGGAAAATTTTTATCAGCGCATCGGTTTAACCGAATTACATCGGCAGGAAGTGGGCGGTACTGAAACGACTGTTCTCGTGGGAAAGATTTGAGACCAGTGATCACGTGTCTAAATACAGTGCTCTCCTAAATTTAAGTCAAACTAGTGGCTTGTAGGGGCGTAAGTCCCTAAAAAGCTCAAATGTAAAACAAATTAGGCTATTATAATATTTAAACAAACTCAGAATAAAATTATCTATGTGCCAGTTAATTGATACAGTGCTACAATAATACAAGTATAATTGTAGATCAAAAGGCCATCATAATACATTGTTGTTTTCCAATTCATTGCATTATTCGTCCTTGTATTATTACCTTTCATTTCAGAGTCAATATTACATTTTTTATACTAGATCATAAAGAGTAATTGTAAAAGTTGCACTACAAAAGATATACCTTTAAGTACAAATGGTACAACTCATTATTTTGGTGTTACAGTGTAGTAGCTTAACATTAAATTCAGTGTAGTTTAGTTTTAAGAATTGTCAAAAAATCATTGGAAGAAACAAACAATATCAGGCCGTCCCTTAAGGATCTCTGGGAACAATTTTTATTCTACATGTCCAACTTTCAATTTTTTATAACATCAAGCTTCCACTGCCATCGCTCTGTCTATAATTGTTTTTCTCATGATTCTTCCAACCCAGGGGCAACCATCAGATTTGTAAAGAATTTGGATGTAAAAGGAGTAAAGGTTTTAACATAAATGTAAATGTTATGATTTTTTTTCTTTACAGGTTCAAGGATGGATGGAAGCGGCGGAAATGACTGCTCAAAGTTTAAATTGTTTCTTGTATTTACAGGCGTGTATCACACACGCGAGAATGGAGTACCGGTGCCCGCGCTATCCGGGTCGCTGGAATTTTATCCCCCTGGAATTTTACCCCCTGGGCAAATCTGACGTCACTATGACGTAGTAACATGAGTGGCCAAAAGTTTGTTCGCGGCCGGAATTTTACCCCCGCAGATTTGGAAGTCTAATGAAAATAGCCAAAGTGTGATTAATTAGATTAGCGATAAAAACCGGAATTTTACCCCCTGTCCATATAACCACAGAAAACGTACTACTATAACCCAGAATGCCAACCGCATGGTAAAACGCATTAAGTGTTTTGAGAGAGCTTTGCCTGTCAATCCGTAGGCAGCGCCACCAGCGTTGCTATGCTATTGCATGGCAACGCTGGTGGCGCTGCCTACGGATTGACAGGTAAAGCTCTCTCAAACCGCTTAATGCTTTTTACCATGCGGTTGGCATTCTGGGTTATAGTAGTACGTTTTCTGTGATATAACTAGCGTTTAGACAACTGCAGATGTACGGGCCGGATTTTTACCCCCGGATTTTTACCCCCTGGCCGATTTTAGAAATTGAGTGATTGATTTTCTTATTTCTGTTTTTAATTAATTGTAAACATTTCATTATTTAGTCGCCTATCTTTATTTATTTATTTTGTAATCTCAACTAAGTAAACACAATTCGCTGTTTAATTTTGATGTTCGGGATTTGCGTTTGGGGCCAACTGTTGGTTAATAAGTATATAAAATAAACTGAGTTGAGTAGCTCATTTAAATGATAATTGGGTGAACATTTCTTCGTAAACAAACAATAAGGCATATTTTGTTATTGTTACAATACAAACGAAATACATTGTTTTACCACAGTTGTATAATAAATTGTTAAAGAAATCTTTGAATCAATTACCATTCTGATGTTTGTTTATACGTCATATTAATCAACAGTTGGCTTCAAAGATCGAATCCTGATACTCGAATCTCAAAAATCAAATCAAAAACCTGTTAGAATAGTTGATGTTACAAATAAATTAAGATAGGCTACTTAATAATAAAATGTTTACTATTAAATTAAATCAGAATGAAGATAATTAATCATTCTCACTAATTTATATATCTGGCCAGGGGGTAAAATTCCGGGGTAAAAATCCGGGGTTAAAAACCGGGGGGTAAAATTCCAGGGGTATAATTCCGGGTAGGGATGGACGGGATTGAATTTTTAGTTCGGGACGGGACGGGACGGGATTTTTATTTCCTTCCCAATTTTCGGGACGGGACGGGACGGGATTTTTTTCTGTGCATAAAAAGAAAGTCTTGAGTATTGCAGTTACCAAAAAAGGCATACAAAATCAATCTTTACCGTTTGTGGCACTGATCTATTAAAACCAAAAAATGGGTAACAATTTTTCAGGTACCTGTAGAAACTTGTGACTCGCGGTCACGGTGCGATCGTCGGTATGACTCACGGTCACGGTGCGATCGTCGGTATGACTCACGGTGCGATCGTCGGTATGACTCCGCGGTCACGGGGTGATCGTCGGTATGACTCCGCGGTCACGGCGCGATCGTCGGTATGACTCACGGTCACGGCGCGATCGTTGGTATGTCTTCGCGGTCACGGCGCGATCGTCGGTATGACTCATGGTCACGGCACGATCGTCGGTATGTCTCCGCGGTCACGGCGTGATCGTCGGTATGACTCCGCGGTCACGGCGCGATCGTCGGTATTCTTGGTCTTCTCTTTTGGCAATATCTCGCAGTAATCTTTCTACAGAAGATAAAGCATACTTATTAGACGTGCTATTTGTCTAACATGGCAAATGTAAACATGAAATCTAGTACAAAAAAGTGAACAAAATTCCTTTAAGAAATATTAATGTTTGCATCAGCCTAAGTGTAAATCTTAACCAAATAAATGTCTATTTCAGACCCCTGGAAAGTTGAAGTTGTCTGATCAAGCAATTAGCTTCAAAAACAGTAAAACTGGAAAAGTTGAACAAATTTTGGCTTCAGATCTTGAATTTGTGAATTGGCAAAAGTTGGTAGGTCAATGGGGCCTTCGCTTATTCCTGAAAAATGGATCTCTGCACAGATTTTTTGGATTCAGAGAATCGGTAAGTCTTTATTATGTGTATTTAAATATGAAAATAGCTTTTTACAAAATTCACTGTGTAAGGTTTGGCTATCATCTTGAATTTTTCTCCATATTTTGTTGTCAAAAATTTAAATATCCCGCAACAGCAAACCTGCCGACTAAGCAATCTCCATTTGCATGATTCAATTTACATTAAAATGTCTTCTTAAAAATATCACACTTATTCCCTATTTAAATAGCATTTGTTTAACAAGTTCTTAGGTTTGCTGCAGGGAGGGTAGAAAGTTTTTTTTTGTTGTAAAAGATTAATTGTTTTAGTTTAGTATGATGAGGGCATTTTCAAAATTTGATCAAAATATGTTTGTAAGCAAGCAAACTAAACAGTTAACTTATTATTTTCAATAAGAATAACATCGAAATTTTAAATTTACAATTTTTTGCAATTTTCACCGTAACCATTAGGCGCATAGTAATGGCTCACTAAAATGGTTTGGAAAGAAATTGCTAAATTTAACAAATGAGTAACAAATGCTTACTACTTCTTTCATACTAAATTTTAACATCAAGAAACTATTTCAAGCCTATTCCAGAACAATTTCACTAATTAGAAAAAGAATTTTCAATAATCTATTATTTCAAAACCAAATTTAAACTTTTAATCCTTATGTGAAGATAGCCTATCCAAAGATTGATTATTACATCAACCAGAACATTGAACAACAGTCAACTTGATCACAAGTTTAAGTCATACAGTAATCTGCTACTGAGTATTTATTATACTAGATATTTCATTCTCCTTATGTTTAATAACCAAATAATTACCTAAATCACAAGATTAAATTCCGACACCGCCCGATCACCCCAACCTGAGATTCAGAGTACATGTAACAAACCCCTGAACCTAAATTGAGATCATTGTATTAGCCTCTAAGCTTTAAGTAACTTCAAGTAAATTCTCCCCATATTGTCAACCCTGATTGTAAATCCCCTTTTTTTGTTATTATCAATTTTGTAACTTCATTGAATAAAATTAAGATTTGTATTGTAAATTTGGAGTTTCCATTTTAGGCCTAAGTTAAGACAGCTGTTGGGACTGATAGTACCTCGGTTACCGAGAATCTCGGATAACAGGGAGGTGTCTTCGATTTTGAGGTTAGGGGTTACAGTTACCACTACCACATTAGGAAGTCAAAGAATTGTAAAGTACTAGTGTACCTGTTGCTCGCATTCGAGCAATTGCTTAGTATTACAGGCGTTATTTTAAAACCAATAACAGTCATAATTTCCCCGACTCAAAGATTATGGAAATACTCAAGATGTACATAACAGATAAACGGATCGATATAATCAACATTTCTTGTAAGTATCTTATCATTTTTCAAAAGCCGATCTTGTTTTTTAGTGTTTTCTATAAATAGCCTTACTCATAGCCGCCTTAGGTTGTCCATAGTAACGATTATAAATAAATAAAAACATTATTTATATTTCTTCTCCTTGGTGGTTCTTCTCCACTACAGTTATCAAAATTGGAAACTAACTCACTCTGAAAACTAACGTTTACTCCACCCTAGTTATCGAAAATGTAAAAGAACTCACTCTGAAATCAAATGCTCTTGTGTGTATCATGTGTGTTTACTATGAACAGCTGTAATTAATACAAATTATTCGTCTGTTTTAAGTAAACGAAATCTTTTCTTCCTAAGAAATACATTGGGATTTTGATGGCCTGTGGGGCAAAGCCCGAGGACTTTTATTACAGGAATTGGTGAAAGGGGGCGTCTACACCGAAAATACTTAATTTTGACACATCGTTTGAAAAAATCCGTCCATAATTTACGGAGGAGTAGTGTTTCGTAGAAATCACCTTCACGTATTATATATAAGGATGTTTTTAGCGAATTTCCCTATAGAGAAGTAGCTAAGTAGGAAAAACTTTTAAGAGCTTAACTTTTAATTAACAATAAATAAAAATGTTAAGCTCAACACTGTTTTAATAAAGGTTCTAACAGAGTAGGCTTAGAGTACTGACTGATGGACCAGTTAAAATGTTCACCTTACTTTTAAAATGTTAAATAAGAAACTCTTCCCATACTATATTGTAAACACTCTAACGTCTGTAGCCAGATGATCTTGGTTTCGTTGTTCTTTAACCATTATTTTAAGATCATCAAAATCGTGGCATCTTGACATTGCTACGTACAATGCCCCATGCTGAAAGCAGGGCTCTGGCAGATAAAGACCAACTTTTCAAGTGTCTGACTTTGTCATTCATCTCTTTCACGCTTAATCTGGTTCCATTATCGAGTCCTTTTTGTGGATTTAAGTTTCTTAGTAAAATTACAAATTTTAAGGCATAACTTATAAGGAGGTAAACCACTTGGTACTAAAGTGTGAAGAAATTCATCTGTACATTAACTGGTGGTAGGTGGCACGGTGAGACATAGGACCTGGGACCGATTTACTTTTCCATTTTGATGTCGCCAGAGGCCAAAAACACAATTTGTTCCAATTTATATATAATATATATATAAAATATCTATATCTATAAAAGAGGAACTATGTATGTGTGTGTATACAGGGTGAATAAAAAGTCAAGACCCCCCCCTCTAATATTTTTCCAAGTAAATATACAGAGATATCCTTTTGGTGGTCGAGCAATCTTAGCAGGAAGCTTCATTTTATAATTTTGAAATTTTTGAGTGTCCCCCCAAAAGGGGGGATTCGGGGGGCAACTCAAATATTTTAAATGTAAACCCCCTTCAAGTGACACCTCATTTTGAAGTGTTTGCAAAAACTTAAAGAATGGTGAAAACTAGAGGTCGCTATCTCTTCTCTATCCAAAATGACAGCCAATATTAAAAATTTTACCATTGATTTTCCACAACATTTGACGGGCTACCATTTTGGATAGAGAAGGGATAGCGACCTCTAGTTTTCACCATTCTTTAAGTTTTTGTAAACACTTCAAAATGAGGTGTCACTTGAAGGGGGTTTCCATTTAAAATATTTGAGTTGCCCCCCAAATCCCCCCTTTTGGGGGGACACTCAAAAATTTCAAAAATATAAAATGAAGCTTCCTGCTAAGATTGCTCGACCGACAAAAGGATATCTCTGTATATTTACTTGGAAAAATATTAGAGGGGGGGGTCTTGACTTTTTATTCACCCTGTATATATATATATGTATATACGTTATGTACTCCGAAACCGCTCGACAGATTGTATGAAACTTTCAGGCATTATTAAGCATCTTTCAAGGATGGTTCAAGTGAAGTTTGGTGCAGACCTGTCAAAAGGAACCCTCTGCCCCAGAGGGTTTTAAGTCAAGGCTATTAAAAAGAAAAAGAGGTTGCCTCAGTCGCGCGTATGACGTCACCCGCCGACCCGGATCTGTTTACAAATAAATAAATAAAAAACAAACAACAATAACAAAGTACTTGACAGGTGACAGCTGTGTGAATTAAAAGCAGCACCGTCGGGTCGGCGGGTGACGTCATACGCGCGACTGAGGCAACCTCTTTTTCTTTTTAATAGCCTTGGTTTTAAGTGGGCCAATGTCAGACTTTTTGATCTACAATGTTTACAAATAAATATAATTTAAAAGCAGATGTTTACTTTCACCAACTGTTTTGTAAGTTTGAATAATTACAACATTCTGTATTAGCATTAGTCATGATTTGAAATAGTGCCACAGTGTTTCTACAGAGTGCAGCACAGAAAACTATTTTACTTTTGAATAAGTCCAAATGTATTAAACCCCAATCGCAGAACACCTGTGCGAGTGAAAATTTAAAAACGTACGTTTTCAGGAAAAGCACTTTGCAAATTTTTTCCCCTTTTTTCAAAACTTTTATTATTTTTTTTTATTTCATTAACATTTGAAGTTTCATAAAATGTCCTTGGTAACGCAATATCTTTGGTAGTTTTTTTTTTAAAGAGCATCTTTAGTGTAAAAACACAAAATCCTGTCACGACCATAACAGACGTTTAAATGAATATTAAAAATAGTTAATATTATTTTTATAACTATGTTTTGCTATAAACTAATTTACTTTTATGACCATTATACAATAAAAAGGTCACTGAGCTTTTGGTATATTTGGTCTTTCTAAAAAAAAATAAAAAAACTCAAAAAATTGAAAAAAAGCCAATAAAATCTTTTTAAGTTTGTATAACTCCGAAAAAACTTACCTGAGACCCGAAATATCGTTATATTTGTATAGAGGTGTGCTTCTTTTGTGTATAAAACATTGAAATATGACGATATTTTAATTTTTGAAATTTTTATGATAGAAATCATAAACGTGATGGTCAGGGACAAGCGGTACGGTCGTGAATTTTCTGAAGTAATCTAAATCTTTCTAAACAATCCTTCAATTATACTGTTAGTTATAATAAAAATATGTGTTTCAATTGAACTAAACTGTTCAATTTACAATTATATTAAAGTTATTGTCACGACCAAACACACTATAATCCATAAGGCTGGATTGGTCGTGAAAAAACCCGCGATGGTCGTGAAACTTTGGTCGTGAAATTACGTGTTATTTGGCTCTGTTCTGGCGGTAGCCCTGCACCTCATGTTCGAGGATACAATGTGGACTTCTAGGTTAATCTAGCAATTGAAATATCTTATAAACAAAAATTAACACCATGTCTACTTCATCGAATGACTACGTACGGTCATGGACACACCAAAATTACAAAAAACACAATCTATCCTTTATTAATCTTGTAATTCCTCCTTTCAACTCGAAACGACCGGCACTACAATCCTGACGTACACCCCGAACTAGTCTCTAAAACCAACTGACTCCATCGACGCCAGGCTTGCCACTGTCGTGCTCCAAAGTTGAAAATTTTTCCCAAATGGTCGTGACGCCAAATCGAGGGACAGACTTATTTTGTCATGGTAGTCAATTTGCAATGACAATAAAATTATAATATGCTCCTTTTTTGTAAGTTTAATAACCATTGATGACATAAAAATATGGCTTTATATATTTCGGCATGAATAATTAGTCTAAAAACAGCGTGAAAGTTGGAAAATGTACCCTAGGGACACGTCATGGTCGTGAATTTTGAGACTTTAAAAATACGAAAAAAATACCTAGAACCTATTTAAAACCAAATAAATGTGTGTAACATGTTGCCCCCGTCCCAAAAAATATTAAAACACATAATAATAAACTACAAATCCAGTATCTACGAAGTAAAAGGCCAGGGACATGAAAACGTACGTTTTTAAATTTTCACTCGTGCACTTAACAACGTTTAAATTCTCCAATGTTAAATATTAAAACATAAAAACCTTTATCAAAGTATTATAAACAATAATACCCCCGCCGCAGCAAACCTGCAGACTTAGCGAATTTCCATCTGCCTGATTAGATTTAAACTAAAATGTCTCCTTAAAAATATCACATTTATTCCCTATTTAAACAGAATTAGTTTAATGAGTACTTAGGTTTGCTGCAACAGGGAGGGTAAAAGTTTTTTTTAATGTAAAATATTAAAAGGTTCTGTGGTTTAGTAAGAAATTAATGTATTTTCCAAATTTGATCAAAATATGTTCATAAACAAGCAAACTACAACAGTTGACTTATTCTCCATAAGAATAACATGGGAATTTTAAAATTACAATTTTTTTGAATTTTCTCCGTAACAATTAGGCGCATAATAACGCTTCAATATACTAAATTATTTGTTTTTTTAAGCTCTACAAAATGGTTTAAAAAGAAATTGTGAAATTTTGTGTTTTTAGGGTCAAAAATGGGAAAAACCTATTTTTACCCCATAAAACCCCCCATAATCCCCCGTTCCCATAGTCCGATCATGATGGTTCGCAAACTCATTCAAGGTTATCCTGCCTTACACCTTCAAACCAAATTTTATCAAAATCGGACAAAAATTACTCAAGTTATCGTGCGGATGGACACACATATATATATATATATATAGATATATAAAAATTTGAACGAATGGTGTTTTTGGCCTCTGGGGACATCAAAATGAAAAAGTAAATCTGTCCTGGGCTTAGGTCTTACCATGAGACCTACGGTAATAGCTACTTCCCTGTAGGGAAATTCGCTAAAAGCGATGACTTTTTAAAATTTATGACAACAGCTGATTTGCAACCAAAAGGTGAGTGAGCGTAGCGAACAAACATCAACCTGGAGGCGAGTTAGCGTAGCGAACGAGCTAACCTGAAAACAAGTGAGCGCAGCAAACAAGCTCCAACCTAAAGGTGAGTGAGCGTAGCGAACGAACTTCAACCGGGACGTGATTGAGCCATGCGAATACTTATAAAGTTAAACGGGTTTTTGTTTGTGTTTTTGACCCTCAAAACACAAAATTTCCCAGTTTCTCTCTAGATCTGTTTAAATAGCTTAAAAAAACCAAAAAAATATTATATCCTAGTGTTTTTTTACGTGTATTGGTAACAGAGAAGGTTAAAAAATTGTAAATTTAAAATTCCCATGTTATTCTTATGGAGAATATTGTAAAATGTTGTAGTTTGCTTGTTTATGGATATATTTTGATCAAACTTGGCAAAGTTATTTATTTTATACTAAGCTGTTAATATTTTACAAAAAAAATACATTTTATTAGTTTCCTTGTAGCAGCAAACCTAGGTACTTATTAAACCTAATGTTATTGAAATAGATTTAATTGAAAATCAATTCAGACAAATGATAATTCGCTTAGTCGGCAGGTTTGCTGCAGCGGGGATATTTGTAAATGGATGAGGAAACTTTATGTTTTGTGGCATCAAAAGTGCATAAATTTATCCCAAGAAAATTTATTTTTATTTTCTACTTTCTTATTGTAACTTATTCCTCATATCTGCTGCTGTACACAATAACACTACTGACACCCCTTACGATTGACTGATAAATAATTATTTTTGTCTCTGTTTTTGTAGTCACTACTTTTTACATTTCATTTACCTCGTAATCCGAAATTAGAAATTTGGTAGCTGTTTATTTGGCACCATTTTGATTGGAAATATGGTAGGCCTAATATGCTATGTTCTATCTAGGACATTCATCACAGTCATATGATTATATAGTTCAACTATTATAATCGTACTAGTGTGCCTGTTGCTCGAAATCAAGCCATTGTCAAGTACCAGTATTATACAGGAGTTATTAAAAACAAATAACAGTAATCTTTTGAGTGCTCAAAATCGAGCAATTGTCAAGAACCGTTATTATACAGGCGTTATTTAAAACTGCAGTAAATAACAGTCATAATTTTTGATTTCGATAAGTTTAAAAGACTCAAAGCTTATGTAACTAATTGAAATACTCTCTCTATTAATAACAGGTTGAAATAATAAACACTAATTGTAAAAATATTTTATAATTTTTTAGATGCCGGCCTTATTTTTTAGTGTTTTATACAAATGTTTCCCGACTTACAGCTGTTACCAGTAAACATTTATTACATGTATTCATTTGATCTGACATTAGGTAGGTTTCTTTACCACTGTGACAACATGATTTGTATATTCTTCATGATTTTTTTACTTGCAAAATAAGTTGCATAGCAGTTTTGGTAAAAATTATTCATCTCTCCAAGTGATTGTGTATCTGGATTCCTTACTGTTAGACCAGGCCTCTCTTCTACTCTTCTCATACGTATAAGATTTCCTCTTAACCTCCTCCTGTTTTCAATATTTTTCTTTAAACTCAAGAAAATTTCTGTTCTTCCAACAAAACTGATTAAAACTGTTTGGATAGGTCTATAATTGGATAGGTCTATAACCTCCTGAATATTACAAACATAAATATTTACTCCCAAGAAGCTGGTGAGTTTCTTTTTATATACAGCTGTTTTTTTTTGTTTTTTAATTTGTTCAATGTAATTCTTATGGTGAAAACCCGACCTTTGAAATGGTCTCACACTCTTAAGGGTAGAAACATTTAAATTCAGACACCTTAAACGTTGAAATTGGTCCACCAATAAGGGAGGAGTAGTGTTCACAAAAAACAGCCCTCACGTATTAATATAAAAGATTATAATAGTTGGTCCATCAATCTGAAATGTTCTTCATCACATATTTTATAGGTATATGACATAGAACTATTGAAGTGCAGTACCAACCGGCCAAGAAATATTTTTTTTGATTGCAATTTAAATATTGGCAGATGTTTCCTAACATTTTTGTGCAAAATATGTTCAAATGCAAACAAATCTTTTCTTCATATAGGATAACATGGGAACTTGAAAGATCCCTGCAGCAGAGCCCTGATATATTTTCTGAGAATACTCTTCTTTTTGCACATCCAGAGGTTAAGTGGAACCTCCATGCCAATTCTTGAGTTCTTCCGATTTGTAGTTTTTGAGATATAGCGATCAATGAGTGAGTCAGTGATGTTTGCCAATGTGGCTGGAATCAGAGGAGAAGTCAATGAGTGTTGTTTGCTTTTTATAAGACTGTATAGATAGAAGAGATTATAGGTTTGACAATGCACCTACTCTAAATGTAGTTTCATGTATTGAATGTTTTGTACAATATCCTATGTCTGTGCTAACAATGGTATTACGGTCCTGTCCTGACTGATTTGATCTCTCTCCAACACAGGAACAAGACAAAATTGCCAAGTTTTTCAAAACCAGTTATTCATTAGACATGTTGGAAAAGGAACTCAGTGTAAAGGGATGGAACTGGGGTACAGCTAAGTTTGCAGGATCAGTTCTCAGTTTTGAGGTTGGCAATCTCTCTGCATTTGAAGTCCCATTGAATAATGTCTCACAGTGTACAACTGGCAAGAATGAAGTCACTATCGAGTTCCACCAAGTGAGTAGACCTAAGGACATTAGTGTAATATTGAAACTAAGAGTTCAGTGGTGTATAAATAGCTGGACAGCAACAACAATTGGAGCAGCTAGTTGTCCACCCTAGGGATTAATCATGGGCCTAACTCATGGGGTTAATAGAGTAACTTTTACTGATTATAACTAACAGTAGCCGACTTGTACCATAGCCACCTCTAATAACAAGGCCGCGACGTTCGAACTGGCAGAGTTGCTATCACCCACTGCCTGGGTCCGGCACATTAAACATCAATGAGAGTATTGCTGTTTTTGCTGCTCTGTATTAATCAATGAAAGTATGCAAATGAAATACATTAGTGGATTTTAGGGTATGGTAAAATAGATGATTAAAATCAAGGTCTCCAGCTTATTTATTTAGTGAAAAAATACAACATAGCACAATATGTCCTTTGACTATGTCTATAACTAAAAATACAAATATAATGTTTTTATTTGGTTGTATTTATTTTATTGTAAGTACAATGAATGTGGAAATGTCTGGACTTGGCATATTTTCTTTGTAAATTTGATTATTTCAAATAAAACTCCCATTGCAAATAGATTTTTAGAGACTATCTAACAATTTGTTCAAATAAAATGATTTTCAATTTGAAATAGGAATTTATGTTTTAGCCTACCTGAGGAACCATAAGTCTAGCTAGCTACAACTAAATGCGAAGTATTCTTTTCTTATTGAAAGGCATACTAGTACTGCGATGCACACAAGCTGAGAAAAAAGGTTTTAAAGAAACATGCTTGCCTATTAATATATAGATAGATCAGGCAGATTATTATAAAACTTAATACCAGAATAGTGGGAAGAAGATTCTTTTTTGTGTTCATGGTATAAAAGGCAGCTTTTGTGATCGGAATTAACAGAAAATTTAGAAATATTTTGTTTCATAAAATATTAACAAATTATTATTGATGTACAGACTGGGAAAGGTAAGAATATTGTTGCTTTTAAATGTATTTTCACAAGAATCCCTAGTTTTGATAGAGTGAATTGTTTTCATGATTCTTTTTTGTAATTTACAAACTTTTTCCCTTTGTTCGGAATTTCCAAAAGAAATTATTCTGTAGTTAAGAATAGGATAAACTAACATAGGCCTACCCATAGTATTACTATGGGTAAAACTTTTTGATGACGTCTGTTATGTGAGTTGTCCAGGTTAATTTATGATCTATTGTTATTCCAAAAAAATTGGTGCAGTCAGCAAGGTTGCAAGATAGAGTGGTGTTTTTGTGGAAAATTTTTTTATTAAGATCATTTTTTTTTTGAAAGTTCATTAAAAGAGACTCGGATTGATTGACTTTGAACAGTCCTTCTACCCTACAATGTAATAACCAGTATCCCATGTTACGCTCGGTGATTGTACCAAGTTATTGTTATGATATGATTGTGTTTGTGATGTAGAATGACGATGCGCCTGTTGGCTTGATGGAGATGAGGTTTCATATCCCCGTGTCAGAGCTAGCTGGAGATGACCCTGTTGAAGCTTTCCACAAGCAAGTTATGGACCAAGCTAGTGTTATTTCAGTCAGCGGAGACGCCATTGCCATATTCCGAGAGATCCAATGCCTCACCCCTCGGTTAGTGATTAACTCTACTTTAAGCGAATTTACCTACTGTATAGGGAAGTAGCTATTACCGTAGGTGTCACAGTAATACGTAGACCCAGGACCAATATTTTTTTTCATGTTGATGTCCCTGGTGGGGAGGGGAGGGTGCAACCTTGAAGCTATATTTAGACTAGAGGGCTGGCTTATCTAATAGCAGGACAATGATACAAAGCTGTATTTTCGGGAATCCTTTGCCCAGTTTGACTTCAGATTCTCTTTTACCGTGTAGAAACTTTGAATTGTCAAAAATATAATTTGAATTAACTACAAATATATTCAAATTAATGCAATGATTTGCATTTTTACATCAAAATCCAACATTGCACAATCATGATATTTAGGTCATTGGCCTTTATTAAGCATCTGGTTTTCTGGTCTGGTTGTGTTGTTTCAGAAGAGAAGCATAATTAATTATAAACTGTTGTAGTTGAAAACAATTATTTTGTAAGCCTATAAAACATTAGATAACTCTTAGGCTACGGCCACACGGGCGTTTTTTCACGCAAGAACGCGGCGTGAAAAAACGTGAGAAATATGGGCAGCATTAAATGTAATGAGGTAGGCCTATGCCACACGGAGTGTGTTTTCACGCAGATTAGGCGCGTCTTCAAAATCGACCGCCGCGGGCCCGCAGAAGAATGGACTGGGGTGCATTTTTTAAGCTTGTTTTCACGCACTGTCCCTGGCCACACGGGCGGGAGCAACACGCAGCTTTGATCGAGTCGTCCTAGCAAAGTTAAAATAAATATAAATGTATCTAATTTTGTCCAGGATAGCGTAAAATTAGCATTAGCACTAGCCAATTAGCATTTAGCTGGACTAAAAAATTTTAGAATATTCAAAGATCTGATGAAAATCTTGTCATAAAAATATTTATATTATATTCATTTTTTTATACTAAATGTAAAAATAAAATAATTTTATTGTTGTTTTCGTATCGAAATTAATATATTATATTCATTTTTTTATATTTTTTTTATTTTATTGTTACGCATTTCATTGTCTATTATTGTTATCAATTTTGGTTTTATTATTGTTAATCTAGTCATAAGCACAAACATTCACTGTTGAAGCTGTCAAACCTCTGATTATCTTTGTAAATTGGTGTATTGCGGTTGGTAATTAAAAATAAAAATAATAATAAATAACAAACTAAAAATATACTAAATGTAAATAATTAAATGAATGGTTAACAAAATAAAACTAGGTGTGCAATGCAGTTGTATGCTTGCAATATTGAGCGCAGCAAGTATATTAATCATTTTTTTAAGTCAATGCTATGTCTGTTATATGTAAATGGAATGTCTACTTGCTGTATCCAAAGTCAATGCTAAATCTAGTTCACGTAATTGAGACATCTCCTGGTCGAATCCTCTTATTCAATGGTACGTTTGGTTCACATAAACAATGGAATGTCTACTTGCAGAACCCAAAGGTAATGCTACATTTGTTATACGTAAATGGGAAGTATACTTACAGTATCCAAAGTCAATGCTCCTTTTGGTTAACGTAAATGAGATGTCTCTTTGCAGTATCCAATGTCAATGGTGCATTTATATCACGTAAACGGGATGTCTAGTCTACTTGCAGTATCCAAAGTCAATGGTACAATTGGTTCACGTTAATGAGATGTCTACTTGCAGTATCTAAATCCAATGGTCTTTCTGTTTTTATAAATTAAATGTCTATTGATGTATCCAATGCAAATGGCACATTTGGTTCAAGTAAATGGAATGTCTACTTGCAGTATCCAAAATCAATGGTACAATTGGTTCACGTAATGAGATGTCTCCTTAACTAATCCTAATTCAATGGTACGTATGATTCACATAAATAATGGAATGTCTACTTGCAGAACCCAAATGTGTTATATGTAAAGGGGATGTCTTCTTACAGTATCCGAAGTCAATGGCCCATCCGGTTCTAATAAATTAAATTTCTACTTGAAGTATCTAATGTCAATGGCACATTTGGTTCACGTAAATGAAATGTCTACTTGCAGTATCTAAAGTCAATGGTTCATCTGTTTCTCATGAATTACATGTCTACTTGCAGTACCTATCCAAAGTTAATGATACATTTGGTTCACGTAAATCGGATGGGGACGCGGAAAGGTCGCCCCCGGAAACATCACCCCCCTACGTCATATTGACGTCAGAGACCGGGGGGTGATGTTTCCGGCCGCGGACACTCAATTTCAGTTGCAGCATGCACTCGTCGATATGACGAGTTATTTTAGAGTTTGCGTATTAATAATTAAATAATTATATCCACTTATCATATACAATTACCAGATTTTCTAATTACAATTTATGTTAACCGGATACGTTACCCCCCGATCGTTTTCAAAATGCACACCCCGGAAAGGTCCCCCCCTGCCATGATCACCCCCAGTATACCTGCTGTAGGGCTTGGGCTCGTGACTCGAGCCAGCTATTGTTCACAAGGGTGGATACTGTCCCATATTACCACCGCTCGACTGAACTCTCGTGAATGTGAAGGATTATAACTTGCTTGAATGGGAAGGATTTTGTATTATTACGAAAATTTTGTCAATATTAAGATAAATACAAATTAACACTTCGATATTGTGCTTTCTCTAGTCATTTTCCGTTAATTTTATACATCAAATGTATAAATCTTACTAATATTATAAATATGAAAGTTTGTGTGTTCGTTTGTTTGAAGTTCAATCACACATTAACTAGGCTACTGGATGGATTGGGCTTAAATTGATTGATAATAGCTCACATTCCCGAATAACATATATGCATATTCTTATTTCGCAAACCCTTTCGGGCTCCGCCCCAGTGGCTCTGTAGTTCCCCATGTTAACCTTATGAGTATTCATATTTAAAGGGAATTAAAGAATTTAGTCAGCTGTTACAACTAACTAAAATTGGTTCTATGATATGCAAAAGCATTAAAAAGTTATAAGATTTACCAACAGGTTGCAGCACTATTATTTTTGTCATGAATAAAAACAGCTATTGAACTAAGCAGTAACGAACAACTGTGATACGCAATGAGAACTGTATAAGTAGGATTGTTTACAGTTATGTTTATGTTTTTAATTTCATGAAAAATTTGTGATAATTTACAAATTTATCGTAATTTATTTTTTTCTATTGTTTAGGTAAAGCGGTAGAACATTATGGCTATCGTAGATGTGTATTAATATATAGATTTAACATTAGGTTTAATAAATACCTAGGTTTGCTGCTACAAGGAAACTAATGAAATGTATTTTTTAGTAAAATAATAACAGCTTAGTATAAAATAAATAAATTTGCCAATTTTGATCGAAATATATCCATAAACAAGCAAACTACAACATTTTACAATATTCACCTTAAGAATACATGGGAATTTAAAATTAAACATTTTTTGAATTTTATCCGTTACCAATAACCGTTCAAAAACACTTTGGTATACTAAATTATTCGGGTTTTAAAGCTATTTAAAAAGGTCTAAAGCGAAATTGGGAAATTTTGTGTTTTGAAGGTAAAAAATGATAAAAGTCATTTTTTACCCCATAAAACCCCCCGTAAAACCCCGTTCCTATGCTCCGATCATGCTGGTTCGTGAACTCATTCAAGTTTATCCCTCCTTACACCTTCAAATCAAATTTCATTAAAATCGGAAAAAAATTACTCACGTGATCGCGTTTACAGACGTATATATAATATATATATCTATACTTATTTAATACGCAAGCAGATTTATTGTGACAATTACTCCTCCAAAACTACTGAACCGATTGTCATGTTTTTGGTGTCATTGGAAAGAATGTAACGTGAAGTTGTGCTTGTAGTAGGCCTATAAGGAATTTTGTAAATATTTTATGTATTACTGTTGACTTAACCAAAGCATCAAATTATGTAAATCTGGTTGAATATATATACATATATAAAAATTTGAACAAATGGTGTTTTTGGGCTCTGGGGACATCCAAATGAAAAAGTAAATCGGTCCCGGGCCTAGGTCTTACCGTCCCACCTACGAAAATAGCTACTTCCCAATAGGGAAATTCACTAAAAACCTTGAATGATTGAATATAAAAGCTTTTTATTACGCATATAATACGCATATAATTTATAAAAATTAATCTTTCTCACAAATCTCTATACCTACAACTGGAATGGCCATTTTTGGAATGAGATTCTTTAAACAAAAGGACATTAGAGTTCGGAGTAACGTACGAAAGGATTATTGAGACTTCCTGTACACTGGTCACTCTAATAAATTCTTTCACCTTTCCAAGTACTGTTTATCAGTTTCCTTGCAGTAGTCAACACAACAATCTATAAGTATAAAAGAGGATGTTTGTATATATACAGGGTGAGTTTTAATTGTCCCCCCCCCCAACTTTTTTCTACATGTTTCAAAATATCAATGCCAGACCACTTCCAAACATTGTTGGGTAGTAAGTACTTCATTTTGACAAGGTGGTCATTTCCGGCCGCCATCTTGGATCCGCCATATTGGATGCAAAATTTTTTTTCAAATGTAAAGGTAGGGTTGTGACCCATTATTTCGAACTAGATTTTTACCCTGACTTTAATGCCGCAAACTGTTTTTAAAAATCTTGATTCATTCTAAAGTTATGAGGGCTTTTTAAAACTTTATTTTTGGCCCATTTTAACATTGCGCATTTACAAACTAATACCATAATCTCAAAATAGTGCCAGATAAAGATAAGTATACACTACCAGTAATTGTCGACCTATTTTCACTTGGTTATGACTGATGTATTTTTTTCGGCCGCCATCTTGGATCCGCCATTTTGAAATGTGATAAATTATTTTAAATATGAAGGGGGTGTTGTGACCCATCATATCGAACTACTTTTTTAAGCTAAACTCAATGCCGCAATCCGTTTTTTGTTATCAAGTTTTATTTATGAAATATTGCAATTTTTTTTTTAAAAATGTCAAAATTTAAAAATCAAAAAATGAAAATGAAAAACG